CAGGAGTACTTGTGGCACCTTAGAGACTAACAGATTTATTAGAGCATAAGCTTTCGTGCATCCGAAGAAGTGGGCTGTAGTCCACGAAAGTTTATGCTCTAATAAATCTGTTAGTTTCTAAGGTGCCACAAGTACTCCTGTTCTTTTTACAAGTACTCCTGTTCTTTTTACAAGTACTCCTGTTCTTTTTGTGGATACAGACTAACACGGCTGCTACTCTGAAACCTGTCAGTACTATATTTCAGAACAAGTAATCTGGTTTAGATACTGAGTCCTAAATAAATTGATAAAACATTTTCTGAGGTCCTTGCTGGTTAAACACGTCCATAAAAAAAAAATCAAACTGGATTTCAACATTTCAAAACATTTTATAATCAGCTGGGGAATTGCTCCAGATTCTAATATCTAGTGTAGAAAGCCTCCATCATTCAAAGTGCCAAGTTAAGAATAATGAAAGAAAGAGTCACTATTTTTCTAGGAAGGAAAAAAAATTGGGTCAGATTATGTTATCCCTAATTCATACTGTGTAGCAGTATCTTATTCCACACACTGTCCTTTTGATTTCAACATAATTACTTGTGGAGGAAGGCTTTTATGTAGGTAAAGGTATCACAAACTACCCTGTTGTAACAAAATTAACACAACAGGTCCATTTTTCTGCTGGTCTTGTAGCAAGCAGTTCTGACATTAACCTAGGCTCTCACTATGAAAGCATAAAAGTTATTTGTACAAACAAAGTGTTACCATTTGCAATTCAGGCCACAGACAAGGTCAGTGACCAAAAGCTGGTAGCTCAAATGAACCTTGCATCAGGAAGCTCATTATGATGCATATTTCTATCCACACTAGTCTCCTACTTTCAGTTCATCGGCCCCACACCAGTCCAACCAGACCAGTAATTCCCTGTTGTTTATTAATATTAAAATTAATTGATTTTATTCTTTCAACATTTTCAGTTTTCACTAGGCTGCAGATATCTGTATTGAAAAGACACAGAAGCCTTCTACATGTCATGGAAGGTAGGTGGGTTTGACAGCTGACAGTTGAGGCTTTTGGCATTCAGGACTGTATGGGAGTTGTTTTTGACACCCACAAAGCAGTTGAGGCTTTTGGTATTGGGAAGGGGCTGCAACTCCTTTCTCCCACTCTCTAAATTTTTGGCAGGATAGAACATGACTCTAAATGTGGCACATAGTAAGATTTGAATTCTTCACTCCTCATCCCAGGAAACCTTATTAGCAAGAACCACCCAACCCTGCCCAACATA